TCTCTTTCTGAGAATACATATTTGTTAAAATAAACAATATACATGTATAATATAAAATATACATTTCAATGAAGCATTTTAAACTTTTTTTTATAATAAAGAAAACTTTCAATGAATATCGTGCTCTTCGAAATATCAAAAGATTATGCATCTGACTAAAACTTTTGTGGTAAGTAATTTTCCAAGATATAAACATATTCTAAAACCTTTAGAAATAAAGAACAAATCTTTCATTAATCCATTTGAGCCGCATCAAAACCAACGTAATGCGTTTGCGACCAGCATGGATCCAGACCAGTCTGTGCATCTGCGCAGTCTGATCAGGATCCATGCTGTTCACTTACAAACCCTATTACAAATAGAGAAAGTGATAGCGAACAGCATGGATCCTGATCAGACTGCCCGGATGTGCAGGCTGGTCTAGATCCATGCTGGTCGCAAACCCATTATGTTGGTTTTGTTGTGACACGGCTCAAAATTTTAAATCTTAATATACAGTAATATAAAACAAAATATTCCCTTATTTTGAAAAGTTTACTTGTGACTTATCTTTCTCCGAACATAAATCCTGTGTGCTAAACAATGTGTATTTATAATCTTTTATAATCTATAACTATTTACAGTTGACATAATCTAATATACACAAATATTATATAATTATTTACAGGAAGTAAGGCAAGAACTTATATCATAAATATATCTATACAGTGTAACACTTTATTCTTTCTTTAAATATTGGAAAGAATTTTTGTTTAAACAACTACTGTTTTAGAGAAAAAAAATCAGCCGACACAGATAATGTAGACATAATATGTAACAAAATCTTTAATAGCCCATTTTAGCAACATTCTTCCTTAAAAATAATGATTCAGTCAAAAACAGTCGAGTCATTTATAGCATGTCCTATTAATAATTGTCACTGATGGAAAAAAAAAACAACTTCTATTTTGTTTGTGGTTAGAGAAACACCTAGTTAAATCACACTAGACGGAGTAACAAAATTAACAATAAAAACTTGCTTAATAACATGAAAAAATTCCCTTGCACATGAACAAAATGGAATTAAGCACTTTTTTTACAATAATAATCAAATAATTAAATGCAAAAGTATATCACAGAATACAATAACAGATTTAACAAGACACGCATGACAATGATGTCCCCCAATCACACCAAACTATTGTTTTTTATATAACATCATACTGCTGTGTTCAGATCTAACAAAACTTTTTTTCATGTTTCTTTAAACTACTTTTTCTTATCATATCAAGTTATTGTTTCCATACATTACTAAGATAAATTACTAAGATATTTTCTTCAGAGTTTACCAAACTGCTATTTTCACATCTCTAGCCAACCTATTGTTTTCATATCTTTGAACAAACTTTAAATTTGTTTTCATATCTATAACATAACTTCTGTTTACATAACCTATAAACTTATTGTTTTCATATTTCACAAAACTATTGTTTTTATTTATGTCACTAAACTTTTGTTTACGTAATTGACCAAGCTATTGTTTTTACATCTCATAAACCAATGGTTTTCATATTCCTAACCAAAACTTTGTTTTCATATATCACTACACTATCATTTTCATATAAAAAAACCCTGCAGTTTCAAAATTTTTAAGCTGTTATTTAATAAATAATCAATCTTTTGTAATCAAATTTAAATAACACAGTATTGACCAATAGTTTGGTGGCATGAAGGACTTCAAAACAAGATAAATGAAATCTCAGAGTATTCTAAGTTAAAATATAACAAACAAGAAATATACATGTATATATGCTAAAATGAATAAAGAAAACAACATCTGCAAATGAAAAATTAAAACATTACTTTATAGTTTAAAATGGGTAGAAAAGCTCTTAAATAATCTAATAACTTTACAAACATGTTGCAAGACAAAACTGATGTAAGCATCCACAGGTTCCCAGCACAGTGTGAAAAATATAAAACAAAGTTCTAAAATTTTCATACCCATTCTATATCCATGCAGTATATAGTATTTAATATACCAAAGGTATAATATAAATATTAGGAAACTTCTTTTTGACACTATCCCAACAGAGTTGGAATTTGCGTGTAGACATTCAGAATTAACCTTTAACCTCCTGAATTTCTAAAATGGACTTGTCCAGCTTTCCAGTCTGGGATGTGTCTATTATTATGTTTGGGGATATCAAGATGAAATGTTTAATTTACTTAGCTGGCAGCACAGAGCCTAGTTGGACTGCACCCATGTGCTGATTGGCCTGGCTCTATTCTGGTGGCAAATACTGATTACTTTCAGTCCCAGCAGGTTCTAGGCTATACTAAAGCATTAATGTCAAACTGAAGTTTCAAGGTCAAACTGAAGCATCAAGGTCAAACTGAAGCTTCAAGGTTAAACTGAAGCTGATGTTGAATAGAACATAGCTTTATATAATGAATGTTCAAATGTCAAGACTTGCACAGTTTTCATCATCATCAAAAAACCAAAAATATTATTCTTTTTTTTTGTATGTCAAGAAAAGACAATAATTTAATGTAATCTTTCAGAGTGTATCACATTCAAGAGACCACCTTTGACCCGTAATCTTTGTTCAGGTTCCTTACATAGTATCAACAATAAAGATAAATAAAAAAAAATCTTAAAATATTAAATAAAACAAAATGTTTAACAAATTTTACCATACAGTCAATGTACTGGTGTAAAATCAATTAACAAACTTAACAATATTTAAAAAAAAAATTAAATCAAGTGAATACTAGTATTCAAAAACTGATTATTGCAACACTTTCTTAGCAACTTAAAACAATATTAGCTACATTTAAACAAGAGCTTTACTAACAGGTGCACAGCTCATTCCTAATCTGAAAGACATAAAGATCAGTTTTGGTAAACTGTGCCAGACACACCTTGCCTTAAGACATTTAACACAGAATCTGGTGAATTTCCTAAATAGACTTCAAACTTCCTTTAAAACAGTCCTTATAATAATTTTATGAATAGCATGATGAAGATATTTGTTGTTAAGCCGACATAAACGAGAGATGTCAAACTACATGAATATGATTGATAGCCAGACTCTATACTGGAGGCATTATGCCGCATAAGTCGAGCAGTCATGGTCATGACTCATCATTATCTAAAAGTATTGCTTTAATTCAAACACCAGATATTTCAACTTAATTTGAAGCAAGCATGTAGCTTATTTAAACTACTCTTGCATGTACATCCCTGTAACTAAGCAGTACTGGTGCCATATAAGGAAACAAGGTCATGACCCTAGTTTCAAGGTCATGACCCTAGTTTCAAGGCAGACACCTTAACATCTTGACCAACTCTCCAATTTAAGGATTGATGTACATAGTTTCTATTTTTCATTTTCCTTTTGCATAATCTTTATTGTAATATATCTTATAAAGTTTTCAATAAAGTAAATATTTTCAGGGACAAAAAATGATTAAAATGTGAATATTTAAAGGTGTGAAAACTGAAATCTGCGTCCTTCACCTTATGTTGAAATTAAACATTATCAGTAGCTTTATCAGAATTAAATTCTACAAGTAACATACTAAATTATCAAAATAACAACAATTTCAAAAATAGTACAGCAACATATTTTTGAAACATCCCTAAAACAATCAATAAAAGTTTCAAAATTCAACTTTATACTAATAAGAAAAAATCTAAGAAAAAATAAAATACTATATAACAGCATTGCACAAGTTGTTTTAACAATAATCAACAAATCACACTATTAATAAGTAACTTTGTAACTGTCTCTTTAACTTCATTTAAAATATATCCATAATTATATATATACAACAGACACTATTCATAACAATTGCCAATATTGATTATACTGACTTTTCTGCACTGGAATTATCAAAGAAAATCTTTTTTTTTCAAATCTACCTTATTAAAGAAAATCTATTTTTAGAATCTACCTTATTTGAGAAGATTCATTTCCAGAATCAGGCATATTAAAAGAAAATCAAGGTAAAGAAAATCTATTATAGAATTACAGAGTTTTCAACATGCATGCTTATGCCTAGGTCACAAATCAAACGGCGCCGTCCGATTAAACGATTTTTATAAAATCGGCAGATTTTTTGATGTCGTGGACGCCGGGCGATTTTAAATCTGATACCTTGCGTGGTCATGAATGAAACAGTCGTCGGGCGATTTTTTGCCGGAAAGAATTGAACGGATCGGGCGGTCGCCGCCCGATGTCCGTACGGCGCCTGTGCGATTTAAAAGTGAATCGGACGGTTGCCGCGCGGGCGCCCGGCGACAATGACTTTACATTTAATGACATCCTTTATAAATCAGCCAGTTGTAATTATGCCAGCAAAGAAGTCAGCTGCCAAAGCCAAGGGGAAGGCCAAGGAGATGGTCCGTGTTGTTGACACCGAGTCACCAACGGCCAGTATCGAGGCCGTAGAAGGCGAAAATCAATCAGACATTCGCATGGACATTGAAGAAAAAATTCATGTTTACTAGTATTCAAAAGAAATTCACAAATATATTTTTGAGGCAATTACAACTTCTTCAAGCTGAAATTACAACAAACACAAGCAGCCCGGTCGCCGGATGACAAAACGATGACCGCCCGGTGCCTGTACATGAATCGTCCGGGTACCGGGCGATAATCATTTGACTACTTGTCTCTCTTCAGGCACCGGTAGGGGCCCGGCCGATGTCCGCCCGGACGCCTTTTAAATCGGACGGTGTTTTAGTAGAACAAAAAATCGCATAATCAAAAAATCATCGCCGGTCGTCGCGCGGCCACCGAGCGATGTCCCCTCGATGATATTTATACTCAGTGACCCCAAAAATTATCGTCCGGCCGCCGTTAGCTTTTAAGTATTACTTAAAACTCGAAGGCGCCCGCTCGATGAGCAAAATTTTCAGCTGCTGCCATCCGATAGTCACTGCCGCCGGACGGACGCCGGCCGATATTGCGATTTTTTGGAGAAACAGACGCCGCCCGGCGGCATTTTCTTATTTGTGACCTAGGCTTTATGCATGTGACATACATGTATTATGAAATGATATATCAATAGTGGTATTACTTTGTGTTAACAAGAACAAGATGGAAATCAGGAAAACTCTTGTTTTAGCAATAATTAAACATTTTAACAATTTTTGACAATCTTACACAAAGCAAGATAATGTCTTTTTTTATCCTACATAACAAAATCACTCTCAGCTATGTACTTTTCAGACCAACTTCTGACAATATAATGAGAATATTATTTAACAGTATAATAAAATATTAAGATTTTTTCTACATTTATATATTTTGGCTGTATTAACAAAGCTATGTTACTATTTATGATAACTAACAAAATGAGGTAAATGTGGAACATATATATCTAAATTTTGATGATTTAAACAAACTATACATCTTCCGATGTAGAAATAATTAGCAAAACCAACAAAAATGTTATAAAACAAGTCCTACTTGTATGAAAGGTTACATGTGTCATTACTAACACAAGTTTTGTCCAATGTTCAGCATTAACACTGATAATCTAATATTCATCACACTATAATGTTTGAATTTCAGTATATAATACAGAGGGTAGCTTTAAGCTCCTTTCAACAGCTATGTTTATACATTTAATTTACCTTCCTAGGGTAACCATCGTTAAGGGTCAGCTTTGGTTTGTTCTTTATCTGCATCTTCTACCTCCTGTTCTGTACCAGACTTACCATCCATCAACGTGTCCCCATCAGTATCCTTTGACTCTTCCATACCATAGGTACAAGAAGGTGCGCTCTTCCTCATATCAAAGGCAAATGGCATCATATCATGCCGATGATTGCGGTAATCAGCATACGGGGACGTCAGAATCAGATCTTTTTCCACTTCATACGTAGGAGTCGGCGTTTGATTAGTGCTCTCATCAACATCTATTGGATGCACTTCGTCTGTACCGAGGCCAGCCTCTTGAAGTTGACGATAGTGTGTCTTACGATGCCGATGCAAGTTCCAGCTACGAGAGAACCTCTTTCCGCAGTAATTACATTGATAACGCAGAACGTGGTTGTATCTATGGAACTTCAGGGACTGCGGATCACGAAACGACTTCCCGCAAGTTCCGCACATATTGCTACCCCCGTAGTCCTCTGTGTCTTTTGGAGCCTGAGAACTGCTTTGATTTGTATTTTCAGTTGACAACTTACGTACTGGGGACATCATCTTGTAAGGTGAAAGGGCTGGAGCCGTTAAAACTTCACGATGCTCTGACATCACATGCGCTTTTAAGGTAGCAAGATTCTGAAAAAGTTTAAGGCATATATGACACTGGTGTGAGGATGGTGTATCAGTATTGTTGTTTTCCTCAGTGTCTGACTGGTTATTTTCCTCTTTTGCTTGAACTGGTGCCCCGTATTTCCCTAAATACCCTTCCCTTACCTCCCCAGGGTCGCCTGAGCTGGGAGAAGTCTTGGTTAAAGCTTTCATAAGAAGTTGGTGTTGAACTGAGGTGGTTACAGGCAAGGTAAAGGCACTTCCAATTGGTGGAAACAGAAATCCAGGAAAAGTTGGCATACCTGATCGAAAATTATCATAGTCGGGCCGGCTCCATGAAAAGGAGCTGCTTGGTGTAAAGAATGGTTGATCTGAAATATAACATACACATAAAATCCAATGAATAAAATAAACATTTTATTAACATTTTACTTAATAACAAACAATAAACAAAACTTAAATGATTTCATTTTATAATGGAAGCCAGATAAATTTGCTAGCTACTGGTCAAGCACTGTATCATACATCAAAGAAAGAGGTGCTAAATAAAACTGGTAAATTATTTTATGCAATCACAATGTTATGATGTAAGGAATTTCTTTTTCCTGTCAATACCTGATGGTGACTCGTCCTGTTCTTTTTTGACCACTACATGTTCGAGGTCATTGTCTTCCAGAGGCTGTATGATCACAGAACCATTACCACTTGGTACCGAACTCGGCCTTGACGACTGTCGTGGGCTGGTGTTACTACTGCCAATACCTGATGTGTCCGCACAGGCAAGTTCACGTAAACCATCACGCCTGCTTTTGTCCTGGGTTGGAGATTGAGTTGTTGTGGTTGTAGGTACAAATACTGGAGAAGTTTGTTGCTGAACTGCCTGTTAATATAAGAAACTTTCATTTATGAAAAACAAACATAGGTATTTTTTCTTTTTCTTTCATTTAGATAGTCTTCTTGTTTTTTTAAAAATTTACTCAAAGACTTGAATCAGAATGATAGCTTGATATATGAGCCACGTCATGACAAAACCAGCATAGTGCGTTTGTGACCAGCATGGATCCAGACCAGCCTGCTCATCCACACAGTCTGATCAGGATCCATGCTGTTCGCTATCAGTTTCTCTACTTGCTATAGGGTTTGTAAGCCAACAGCATGGATCCTGATCAGACTGTGCAGATGCGCAGGCTGGTCTGGATCCATGCTGGTCGCAAACGCACTATGTTGGTTTTGTCATGACGTGGCTCATATGTATTCTTTCGCAAATCTACTTAAATTGAAATCAAAATTGTCACAATGGTATTGATTCATTTTTATCTCAGTAGATAAGCAGATTTAAAATCAAGACACATGTTGCATACATTTCTCAACAAAAACTGTAATTTAGAAAATCAACTAAGATAACTGGAAGAATAAATATTGTTTACTCTACTATTTACAATAATGCCAGTTGTGGCCTAGCGGTTAAGGTTTATGATTTAACTGAGGGTTTGAGCCCTACTGGGGGTAATTACTGTATTTCATCATATAACACCACAACTGGTTACTTTAAGGAGACTGACTTTGAAGTAGTTTAAAGAAAGCTACAAGCTCAATTCCAAAACTGAGTTTAAATAAATAACATTTGATATCTGAAGAATTTAAGAAAGTGTTTTTTTACAAACCTCAGATTTAAGAGCTTGTTGAGCCGCCAGGAAAGTTATACAAAGTTTTTCAATTTCTTTGATCTGCAGGAAATTAGCCGCTGTCAGGATTTTATCTGCTGATTGCGAGTCTACAGTGATGTTGCTAGAGTAACAGAAGTCAACAAGTTGTCGTACACATTCATCACGCAAGTGGTTGCCTAAATTGATGTCTGTTTTATGTTTGTTGTCAGGCTCGTGGAATAAATCTCTGAAATGTTTTAACAGTATAATGAACCTTTTTTTTTTTAATTGTTAAACCTTTATTTCAAACTGACGCTATACAGGTCATATGGTGACTTTCCAGCTTTACTGGTGGAAAAAAGATGAAAGAAGCCACTTTGTGCATTATTCTCTGACATAAGTTAGCAGTCAAGTAAAACCATTGATCTTACTCAATGTCCAAACAATCACGGTTCGATTAATTGTTGAAGCTTTCTCCACAGGTAACCAACTACTAATCACACATGATCTTTGCAGCAGTAACCATTAGACTAAAATGACAATAAGACTAGGGCTGTCCTTGAATATCGCAATATCGATATAATGTGATATTCATCCTCTGATACAATATCGATAAACACTTTCAAATATCGATACAAGCTACAATTTATTTATTTCTGTTAGTGAATATACCACTCTATTTTACCACTCTATTGTCGCTCACCTGTATATAGGCCCCCGAAGCGGGGCCAGTTTAAACCCCAGGGCTTTTATTTGAACAAACTTGGAATTAAGACACCCATTAGAAGATGTTTCATGATGTTAAGTTTTTGCTTTACACATATAAGGAAAAACAATGACCTTCTCCCCCCCCCCCCCGGCAGAGTTAATTTTAACCAAAGGGCTTTTATTTGAACAAACTTGGTAGAAACCCATAAGAAGATGTTTCATGCTAAACATCTAAGCTCTAGCTCAATGGGTTTTTTAAAAGAAGATTTTTTAAGTTTTTACTTTACACATATAGTTAAAAACAATGACACCTCTGGGGCGGGGCCAGTTTTGACCCCAGTGCTTTTATTTGAACAAACTTTGTAGACACTTATTAGAAGATGTATCATGCTTAATATCTAACTCTAGCTATTTGGGTTATTTCAAAGAAGATTTTTTAAGTTTTTGCTATACACATATAAGGAAATCAATGACCCCCGGGACAGGGCCATTTGTGACCCCAGGGCTTTAATGTGAACAAACGTTGTAGACACTCACTTGAAGATGTTTCATGCTTAATATCTTAACTCTAGCTATTTGGGATTTTTTCAAAGAGGTTTTTTAAGTTTTTGCTATACACATATAAGGAAAATCAATGACCCCCAGGGCGGGGCCAATTTTGACCCCATGGCCTTTATTTGAACAAACTTGGTAGACATTCATTAGAACATGTTTCATGCTAAATATCTTAGCTCTAGCTCTTTCGGTTCTTTAAAAGAAGTTTTTTTAAAGTTTTTACTACACGCATATAGGGGAAATCAATGACCCCCTGGGGCGGGGCCAATTTTGACTCCAGGGCTTCTATTTGAACAAACTTGGTAGACATCCATTAGAACATGTTTCATGCTAAATATCTTAGCTCTAGCTCTTTCGGTTCTTTAAAAGAAGTTTTTTTAAGTTTTTACTATATGCATATAGGGGAAATCAATGACCCCCTGGGGCGGGGCCAATTTTGACCCCAGGGCTTTTATTTGAACAAACTTGGTAGACATCCATTAGAACATGTTTCATGCTAAATATCTTAGCTCTAGCTCTTTCGGTTCTTTAAAAGAAGTTTTTTTCAAGTTTTTACTATATGCATATAGGGGAAATCAATGACCCCCTGGGGCGGGGCCAATTTTGACCCCAGGGCTTTTATTTGAACAAACTTGGTAGACACTCACTAGAAGATGTTTCATGCCAAATATCTAAGCTCTAGCTCTTTGGGTTTTTTAGAAGAAGATATTTAAAGTTTTTTCTTTTGGTTGCCATGGCAACCAGAGTTCTGCATGGAATTAAATTCTTTGAACAATTTTCAAAGGTGACCACCAAAGGAACATTCCTGTGAAGTTTGGACGAAATTGGCTTAGTGGTTTATGAGGAGATGTCATTTAAAGTAAAAGTTTACGGACGACGGACAGAAGCCGGACGAAAAGCAATCACAAAAGCTCACCCTGTCACTTTGTGACAGGTGAGCTAAAAACAAATATACACAACACTCAAAACAACAAGATCATAGCATTTGTCATAAGTTGAATTTATATATGTATGTATATGTATGTATGTAAATAAGTTACACAAGATATCAGAATTATTCACGAATTGAAGATTTTTAGACTCAAAATTCATCTTATTCTACATAAAAACTATAAAAAAAAATTTGTAAATAAAGGTTTTCCATGAATTTTAAATACAAATGTATTGAACTTTTACCCATGTGTATCATGTTATATGTACTCATACATGATAGTTTACGAACTTGTTGAAAAAAAAACAACGAAAGTCAATGTCATAGAAAATAGATGATTTCATCTGATATGCTTAAAACAAACCATGCTTATAAACAAAACAAATGGTTTATCATGATTTACCTGAAATAAGGACTAAATGCAGCCAGCACAATCCTATGTGCATGTATTTTAATATTTCCAGTGTGAAGTATGACATCACAGAACTCCCCTGTCTGATAAAATTCTCTCATTACAGACACCACCTGAAATGTGTCACAAAACAAATTGATCATAAATTCATATGCTCTGTATCAAGTTACCTCCATTAAAGTGACACTTTGCCCACCCACGTGTAAATGCTCAGTGAATAGGCAAAAATAAAAATAACTTGACATTTTGCCATACTTGTATTCAATTATATACTTATCTATGAAACTAGAACTCTGCGAGTTGGATGTGTCGCCTTGTGAACAGTATAGCTGTCCGCAGTGACTTAGGCATTTTCCTCTTATATTTAAGTTATTTATAAACACCACTCTTACAATGTACATGTACCTTGAACTTTAGTGGCATTTGAACTGGTTGTAACAATGTTACATCAGGATTGATAATATAACTCTAAAATCATGAATTACAGAGTACCGGTTTTTGTGCTTCTCAATGAGATCTATCATCCTATGAAGTTTCATGTCCATAGCTTTTATAGTTCTGTGGGAAATGGCCCGGACAAAAATTAAGTATGAAAATCAACAAAGGGCAATAACTCAAAAATTAAGAAACGCAGAGTAACAATTCTTGTCATTCGGGTCATTAAAAGAAGCATGTATACCAAGTTTGGCGTCAATCCGACTTATAATGACTGAGTTATGCTCTGGACAAGCTTTAGGGGATGCCGACAACAACGCCCACCAATAAAAGTAACCTCAATATGTTGCCTTTTTCAAGGTGACACAAAAAGTGATCAAAAATCCGCTTGACCAAGGGAAATTTTTATATATATCATTCTGAAAGTATCGGTAAAGATAAATTCTTAAAAAGAGTGGGGCAGTCTTTTATGATTTTATCATATAGGTAGTTTCAATATCTATCATAAACATTTTTTTCATTATCAATTGGTTTTTACAGACTTACTTTCAGTTTGATAGTGTAGGAAGCTATAAGCTTATAGACACACTTTCGAATCCGTTCCTGGAACCAACCAGTACTATTCAATGAGTGTAAAGTATCTTGCTCAAGGAAACAACGACTTGCCCCTGACGCTTGGTCAATAACCATCATTATAGGCAATCTATATATATATACTGTCACTTTAAAATGGCAAATAAGGTACTAAATTAGTGATGTGCCATAACTGACTCACTGAATTAAACCTTAAAGATCATTTAAGACAAAAAGTTCAAGGTATTAAAGGAACACAATAAAATTTCTAAAATGAAACTGCAGACAACAGGGCTAACAGAGAATTAGAGTTTAAAATGGATAATTATAGTTTTTATCAAACAAATCTGTAGATGGGAATTAGGTACAAACTATAATGTAAGTATTAAAGGCACATTTTGCCTCAAAAACAAATAAATTTTTACTTCTGTAGAAATTGCAAACATGAATTTATAACGTTTAAATAATGGTTTTAGAGCATATAAGATGCCTGTTACCTAAATGTGAAATAATGTGTTGTAAAAGTAGCAAAATATAAACAAAAAAGTATTTTGACTTTTACACAAAAATGAAAATACTAAATCACTATATCTGTACTAACTGCAAAATAGCAACGGAAGAAAAGAGAGTTCAGGTAATTGGTCAATGAGTTGCTTTTTGGAAACTATAAAAGTTCATCATGATTTTGAGATATAGAAATGAAAACATAACGGGCCTTTAATGATAAAAAAATAAAAGAGATAGTCTATAAGGAATACTTTGTTGTTGAGCTGGTCACTGTGGTAACGCAGTGACAGAGGAGCTCCAGTTGCCATAACGCTGTAGTTCTTCCCTCAGACATCAAAATGTTCAGTCTAAAATGATACAAACATATAATATGTACAAAAAAATTCACATTTCAATAAAAAAATATACAGATGTTTGTTTGTTTCAGTATTATGGCGCAACACACAGTATAGGTCATATGGGGCCAAAACAGAAAAGATGATTTTGGCTAACCTCTGGTGTTACAGACTTCAAAGCAACATCAGGGGTCAAACCACCTCACCTGCTGGAGCTAGGAGATGCAGGGATTTTTTTGACTTATTGTATAACTGTTATTGGGTCATATTCCCAAGTGAAAATAGTATATTATTTTCCCAATCCACAGGAAAAAATTCCAAATTGAAAGTTACAAAATAAAAATATTGAATAAAAATTCTAAAATCTTTGAAAATAAGGGCTTCTTCGCTGTAATAGTGCTTAAATGTTTGAAGATGCCATCCTAGACAGAAATTCTTTGCATCCATTTAATCACTGCAAAATTTCAATCTTTAATGCATTTTTCCCAAGTTTTAACAAAACACCGCTGAAATTCCCAATATCATGGGTATAGGTCATGTTCCCAAAATCCTGGAAAAAATCCCTGAGATGCATCGACTCCAGGTATTTGAACCCATTAAGTCCCTTAATATGATCAATACCTCAGCATTGTATTATGATACACATAAGCACAATGTCCAGAAGTCCCACGGTCACATTTTTAACAGCACATGTGAAAGTGATTAGAAATGAATAGATCTGACATTTAGATGTTGTCAATTTCAAGCATCTGCATAATTTGATCAAAGGATGTTGGTAAATATCAAGCCAGGGCTCTCAGTAGGGTCAGAATTTCACGAGTCCAAGAACTCTTTCGCCAAAATTTTCACAAGTCAAATACTATTTTTTTTTAGTGTGAATCATTTTTATGCTACAAATATTACTGTATTGGAGGTCATTTTGTGTAGATTCTCAAGTCTAAATTGATAATATTTAACATGGAAAAAATGCCTAGTTATAAATGTCTATATATCCCTCCCAAAAAAAAAACACAAAAAAACACAAAAAAATGAATTGCATCTTTACTGTGAAAGAATAATTAACTCAACTAAAACAAGAGCTGTCGGTAGGACAGCATGCTCGACTATTCTTAGTGCTTGATAGTAAAAAAAATGCCTGATACAGTTACCTCCTCCTGTTTACAGGTTGGGGTCATGATGGTGAACAAGTGTGCAAAGTTCCAAAGCCATATGTCAATGGACTTTGAAAATATTTAAACTATTACAAAAACTTTAACGTAAATTCTAAGTCGAAAAAGGGGCATAATTCTGTCAAAATGCTTAATAGAGTTACCTCCTGCTGTCTACAGGTTGGGGTCATGATGTTGAACAAGTGTGCAAAGTTTCAAAGCCATATGTCTATGGACTTTGAAAATATTTGAATTATTACAAAAACTTTAACGTAAATTCTAAGTCGAAAAAGGGGCATAATTCTGTCAAAATGCTTGATAGAGTTACCTCCTCCTGTCTACAGGTTGGGGTCATGATGGTGAACAAGTGTGCAAAGTTTCAAAGCCATATGTCAATGGACTTTGAAAATATTTGAACTATTACAAAAACTTTAACGTAAATTCTAAGTCGAAAAAGGGGCATAATTCTGTCAAAATACTTGATAGAGTTACCTCCTCCTGTCTACAGGTTGGGGTCATGATGGTGAACAAGTGTGCAAAGTTTCAAAGCCATATGTCAATGGACTTTGAAAATATTTGAACTATTACAAAAACTTTAACGTAAATTCTAAGTCGAAAAAGGGGCATAATTCTATAAAAATACTTGATAGAGTTACCTCCTCCTGTCTACAGGTTGGGGTCATGATGGTGAACAAGTGTGCAAAGTTTCAAAGCCATATGTCAATGGACTTTGAAAATATTTGAACTATTACAAAAACTTTAACATAAGTGGTTACGCCGACGCTCGGGTGACTGCAATAGCTCTACTTATTCTTATCGAATAGTCGAGCTAAAAATGACATTATTTGGACCTTTTTCGAGAGTTCTGTTAGCGTTGATGCAGGCTCCATTTTAAGAACTGATTGGTAAAGAAACAATGACATAATGTTCAAAGAAACATATGAATCTTATTTAAATGTTACCAGGGATATTTGATAACAATGTTCAGTTTTTTAATCAGCGCTCGATATATAAAGGAAAATCATATTTTGCAATTAGCTTATAAACTTACAATAGTGGCTAAAAACATTTACCCTTCTCAATATATCCAAGCTAAAAACAAAGTGTCAGCAGGTGCTAAGACAATGTATATTGACATACCGGTACCTTTGATCTTTTGTCAGGGCAGCAGTTCTTACGTCACGCTTAAGATGTCTGTATTGATTATTGATATGCACAATGTTTTAGCGCCGACCAGCCAAAGACCAATCAAAGTTTATTTACTCAATTGTCAGACACTCCCTAGCCAATCGTGTTTGATTAGCTCCATCTTTAAGACTTTTTTAATTGGTTGAAGGCGTGTTCGTAATAATTTATGCAAACCTCTATAATTAACTCGCACTTTTTCACAAATATATAGTTTTTTTTCCTCCGGAAAGTTATTGCATATTTAATTTGTTTTGACCGTTAAAAAACTATAACTACATGCACGTATTGGATTATCTGTGACGATTTGTTTTGTTTATAAAAACTGTGACTCAAAAGTAAGTAATAGTTACGGTACGAAGAACAGGTCTGCATAGTATTTACAGACCTGGACCGAGAGAGCGTAGCGATCAAGGTTTTAAAAGGGTTACCGAGTGCGGTAACTATCTTACCAACATGCTCTTGTTTTTCTATACAAACTTCAGTTTTGAATTCAGTATTTATTAATATTATTCACAAGAAACTTTTTATGTACTTAATCAGGTTTAAGAAAGCATTCTAATGGCATTTTCTATGAGTGCCCCCGTCGGGCCCACAGTTGAATTTGTTTTGCGCCAGCGGTCTTTTCAGGGGGTCAATGGCGCAATGGAGCGCTCTAGATTGAACACTGTTCATGAACATAAGACTCTGATAGTTAAATAATGTAATGTAAGTAGAAGACTCAAAATAAATGCAAGAATCCTTCTGTTAATTAAATCCACATTTCTGCCGCGATGATTGTGTAATTCCTAAACAAAACAAAAAAATTACCCACTCACTAAAAATAGGTTAATAAGACATAGTTTTGCCGCTTCTTAAACAGGTTTTTGAATGAACCACTTTAAATGATTCTGCTCACCTTTAATATTTATCAGTGCGGCACTTATCAAAGAAAATCAAAGGTTGAGCCGAATTCATACATGTAAATTTACAGGGTCGTTTTGATGACGTTAGCGTGTAATACCTACTGCCAAATTATAAAAGAGGTCAATCGACTGACACACACGACACGTGTTAAGTATAACTTTGGGTTATTACGAATTTATGTCACCTTGCTGTCAATTGGCGACTCAACATTTAATCCGCTATAATTTAGGATATGGACAGATAACAATCAATGCCCGGAGGCACGGTTTACATTTTAGATACAGGTGCTGTGTTTGATTTTCTTTATGTTGATTTTTTTTTAAATATCGGGAATTGGATCAGTGTCGAAATATCGGGATTTTTTAAAGGAAGTGGCTAGCCGTACGTGAGTCAAGTACGACTAGCCAGGACGCACTGTATTGTCTAGCCGTACGGCACTTTTTAAAATTATATGTTATTTTGTGTCTTTAAACGAGGATTTTAATCAAGTCTCTGCATTTGTCCTCGTGTGTTCACTTTAATAAAGATGCTCCGTCATTTTGTAAAAAAATGATACGAACAAGCGTTGTATAATCTATCAATTAAAGTTGCATGTTATAAGTTATACCGTCGTTGATTTTCATGCTTATCATTTGTTGTTTTATTTGTATGAAAGATGAATTATTAAATCATTTTTGTTAATTAAGCACATGGATCGAATAAATATTGATCGGAGTGGAATAAATAAATAAATAAAAAGAACATTGAAAAAAGAAAACGGTGATAAGTAAAAATATTTCTATAATTTTCAAATACAGAAGATAAACGGAACGGAAAATGGAAACTTTCCTAAATGATGGACAAAATAACTTCTATACTGTCGGTAATTGACGCAATTATCAGAGCCCAACAACAATTAATTTCGTTTTTTTCCATTTTAAAGGTTTCGAAAATTAAACTAAATGGAACAAAAAAGGATTATTATCAAAACTTTGTAAACTATTTCAATTGTCTAAATGCAACCAGATGACAAAGATCGATAGCCAACAATGCGATTAATTTCTCAAGAGTAAACATTCGAAGACAATTGCTGTTTCTTGGTTAAAATCCTCGCTTAAAGTCATAAAATAACATAAATTATGCATTTTCAACTTCCATATAATTTTGAAAAGTGCCGTACGGCTAGCCAATACAGTGCGTCCTGGCTAGTCGTACGTGACTCACGTACCGCTAGACCTTTTGGCTAGCCGTACGGGCCCGTACGGCTAGCCACTTCCTTTTTTAAAATCCCGCCGGGATATCACATGTATGAAATTAGGTGGTGCTATAGCTCAGTTGGTGAGACCACTGGCTGTCACTCCTGAGCTCCCGGGTTCGATCCTGGGTAACACTCAACACTGGGATTTTTCAGAGACATTTTCAGTGTTTCCCACCTAACTAGAGCCAGTAGAGGTGTACACAGATGAATGCCAGATTGGCAATGAAATCTATATTTAAAATTTCACCGAGAATGCAAATCAAATTGAGATTAAATAATCTGTTTTACAGACGCCAACATGTATGTGATGAGACTTAATCTGAACCCTTTGAGGATTTTTTTTACCGAAATTTGACGATAGAGTGGAAAACAAATAACATATTTTTATGAAACCTTTAGATTCAAGGAACAAATTTGATAATAAACTATGCTTAAGATATTTATCGTTTAAATGCGCTAATAAAGACATAAAATACCATTCCATTTTTCTGTTAAAATCATTTTCTAAATACTTCTTTATTTTTTTGGAATTTTTGACATTTCTCAAAAAACCGGAAATGACTTCAACTGAAGAGTTTAAATCTCTCATTCGACCTAAAGAAAAGTATTGAACAAAAAGTCCGGAAAGAAACGTCAAGCACGCGTAATAAAAAATCTACAGGTATACTATATATGTTATATTTTACTAGATTATTGTCACTGGCTTGTTCTCTATTTATTAAAGGGACCCCACTGAGGTTGTTTGACATGATGGGACTGAAAATATTTTTTCCAGATAAATGTACCATTTGATGTAGGTTTAGACCACTATATAATCTTTGTGCAAAATTCCAGATCATTCGCGCACTTCGTTTTTTCAGAATAATTATTCAAATTGTAAAAAACTGACCCAAAATGAAAAGCGTTTAAACGCTTTTTACTTTAAACGCTTTTCACTCACATTGGGCCAAGAAAAGCATAAAAATTCGATTTTCAATTTATTTCAAAGTATGTTTCTTAACTATCTTTGCATATATTTCTGTTTAAAGAGCCCCCAGCTCATTTATGTAAGAAATTCAAATGTTATGTTTTTAGACTTTCAAACCTCAGTGGAGTCCCTTTAAAATAATGATTTATCCTTCTAAAATCAGAAGCAAAAAGTTCAGTGTTTTTGGGTTTTTTTTAAAAACAAAACATGGTTTAATTTAACACACACTACAAAATTAAAAGAATAATATAAAATAAATTAAAAGTATTTGAAAATTTGATTTGGGTAGTCAAAAAGTTGTCAATATCGTTTAAACGTTTAAACTTTTCTAAAAAGGCAGCCATTTTTGTATACCCGAAATATAAACTTTCCCTTTTTTGCATAATTTCCAGGGTTTAAAGTATATTTTAAAAATGGAATAATCCCTGTTTTTAAGTTTCCTTTTCCCTTTTTATTCATTGAAAATTTTACTAGAAAAATGGGTTTCAGTTTATTTGTTATTTTCCCATAGAATTATGTTATGAGAAAAAGTCGTTAATTCTACCTTGAAATTAATATTTCGTGCTAAAGATGTGATTTTTCTGGGAGAATGAAATGCCTGAGAATAACATATAGGGGTACCCAACTAACTTGTTTTTGCAAAATGACTTCAAAGAGGAGTAAGCCCCCCCCCTTTCCATTTTTTAAATTCACTGCTTTATCTATATTTAAATGCAAATGTCCGAGTGACAAATTATCCTAGAGATATGCTATGATCAAATTTGATATTATAAAATATTAGAAATTGCTACACAGTCTCTTTGTAAATATAAGATAAACATGTTTTGACTTCGCACAAAGTAGATTTGTTATGTTTAAAATTCTACACACTATATATATAGGTGGTCACAATATGAATATATAGTGTCATTAAAAAAAACTGGCAGTTCTTTTTAAGAAAGGACTAACTTTACTTGACCTTTAATCGAGAACACAGCTTAGATACATAGATTATTCTTTTTTTCAAATTAGACATACTCAGTAAGAATATTTCAGAATATCATAGATTTCAATAAATTTCTGTGACTAAAATATTTTACTCAAGGATGAGCATAGTATATCTTTATGAAATATTTCAGTTTATTAAAAAATATAGTGTTATATAGTTTCTAACTTAAAAACATTCCATTTACATCTAATCACCTGATGTCCCATTGATTCTTACGGTTTCCCCGACCTTTTCCGCCAAACTTCGGATAAGAACCTCGAACCCAACATATACAGAATGGATACTGTATTTCGGTTTAACCTACTCGAAGAAATGAAACAACGATGGCGAAAGGTCGGAAGTACGATGATAAAAACACGAAATTATCACTGATTCTCATAAGAATTTGCGAAATTGATATCTGTACAACTTACTTTTTCTCCAAGGGCTGTTTACTTTAACTTTTTATCCAGCAAAGAAAAGGCGAAAAATCTGTGTACATTACAAGGTATTGTTGCTTGTGGCATTTGTAAATTGGCCACAGCTGAAAATATTGCCAGTTCAGGTCTAAATTTGAATAGTCTGACGAAAATATATCTACAGGGCGAAGATGGATTGCATAATACATTTACATGTAAGAACTCTGAAGGCCAGCCACGTGTAACTAACACTAAAAGTGTCTTAGAAAGTGTTATACCAATACTTGTTGAACATTTTAAGAAATAATGAGGTGATAATGTAATAACAGTATTTTGTTAATTATTGTACTGTGGTTTGTAAAATCATTTATCAAAAGATTTGTAATGAATATAATTTTTGAATATAAAAACAACATTCCTTCATTATTATCAGTTTGTTGTAGAAACTTTTGAAAGGTTGCTATATAACTTGAAGCAGCTTTTGGTTATATTTATGTACCAACGATTTAAGGGTCATATAACCAGTCATATATCATAAAATAGTAATTTTTATGGTACTGTATTCTATTTTTCTATGTAACATTTTATTTTCAGTGATAATTGTAACTTTCATTTTTTTCCAGCATTTTTGGTCATAAATGATAACAAATGATAATTTGTTGTTTTTTGGGTTTTTTTTTGCATTATGGAAAATAGTAACCAAATTCAATTTTTTTTGTTGATATTTCCTGATTGATTCCGTTTCATTGTTTTTTAATTGTTCATTATAGTACAGGAAAACTCTAATATAACTTGCTAAATTTCCTTCCTGCACAAGTATTTCAAAATCTATGATACAGAATTCTTTTAGGGTATGAATATTTTTAAAAAAATTTAAAACCTAAATCTATTTTGTTGAGTGAGCTATTAAATGAATTAGCAATAGTAAAAATCTCTAGTAATTATTGATTTATTGATTCAAATAGTAAAGATGATCAATGTTTTTTTTCTAGTGAGATTGAACTTTTAACAGATTTTTAAAGAATGGAAAATATTAGAAAATGGTTTCAATTTTTACGGAAAATGCATTGTCCGCGCACTGATTGAAGTGTGCATGATACTGAAAAATAATAAATATGAACTTATTTTAGTTTTAACATTATTGTATTCATATTGTTGATGATACTACTCTATAAAACACAATAAAACACATATTTTGATTGTCTTGAGTGAAAATAGTGAAAATTAGAAGACCTCTTTTTGTGGCTTAGGTCTTACCTTTATTTTTCCCTTTCCTGAGGTTGAGAACTACCTTTTATAAATATGAATAATACATATTAAATCTATTCTAAGGTGTTTTTAATTTAACTGATAAGTTTCTGACAACTATCAGGTAACTTGCTATGTAGTTCTTACTTCAAAAGAAGTTTGAAATTATAAATGTACATTTTTTGTTAGATTATGAATATTTTCGACCAATTTCGGACTATTTGAAAATTGACACATGTTTTGTTCAATAAGCTATAAAATGAAATAGCCATGGTAAAATCTCTTAAAAATTGGTGATTTGTTTCCTAAAATGATGTAGATAATTATTATCTATTCTATTTTTATTGAATATGAATTAATTTTTTTTAAATGTTAGAATTGGTATTTGGATTAACTTTTTAAACAAAAATGCATTGTCCGAGCACCGTTTTGAAACATTTATGATACTGAAAAATAAAAAAAATATGAACATATTTTAGTTTTTGTATTATTATTTTCATAGAATTGATAGAAGTACACTATAAATGACATATTTGGATAGTCACAAATGATAATTCTGAAAATTAGAATTTGTTATGTTACTTAGGTCTTCACTTTATTTTCTCCATTTTCCGAAATTGAGGGTGACCATATTGAAACAAATATCTAGAGTTGTAGATGGTAAAAGATGTTAAAATTCCTGCAATAACATGCTTAAATATTATTTATTTGAAAAGAAATGTTTTTGTTTTTTTTTGTTATTCTTTGCGCGCACTACTCTCTGAAAGAAGCAATCCTGTTGTAAAATTTATCCTATTGTTATGTACGCTACTACCAGTTTATTAATAAAACATTCCGAATTTCATAAGAAATATTTAACATATCAATATCGTCGATTTATTTCCCGAAAATATACCCGTAAATGTCCGAAAAAAAACCAACCAACCAGATGACGGTTGTTTATATTCGTCAAGATGGCGGTGTTTTTATAGAAATTTCAATGGGGAAATATTTTGAAGCCGCAGGTGAGTTTATATCACATTGTCATTATAGGTTATTGGTATATTTTGATTACTTTTATGTATTTTTAATTGCCCAGCATGATAAATGCTTGTGATATTATCTCTAACGAATGCAACAGTCGTGGAACTTTGTGTTTCCTGCGTAGCCACGATCGATGTCGACCTCGCGAAAATGAACAGTTTTTTTTGTTACTTTGACGGCCAGGTCTCGTTAAGTATAAGAGATATAAGAAAAGTTTTACATTGGTTCGATAGATAAATCATTCGACTACAAATTGCATAATTCCTTTTTATTCATGCTGTATCGTGTAAAAAACTGCGAGGCAAAAACCCTGATTGGGCATAGACACCTTCTTATGGGAGTTGTACCCTTGTCTATATATATTAGTATATAGTGTAATGGGAATGGACTTGGAATATATTTCTGACTTAGGATAAATGTTTTCTACCATCAAATACATATTTTGTGAACATTCAATGAGCCGTACCCCTTTGTCGTGATCCGGAGTGAAAACTACCAACACCACCATTTGATGCCTGTTTTACATAATGCACTCTATATATGTTAACCAGGTTATCCTTAGAGGCTCATGTATTTGAGGCTGGCTGTGCTACCTAGGCTCTTGTCATATTTATTAACTGTGATCCATCGTTTGATGTAAAGTATTAAATAGCATGGACTGAACCTATTTTTATGTTTTAAGAAAATGCTGTGCATTAAGGTCAAAAAGTATATGCATATACCAAACATTATACTTTTGTTTCTATGGAAATTCTATGGAAATATCAAATAGTTTCACCTTAAACCAATTAAACTGTTTTGAGGCATAGCAGATGACATGTCCTTATTTATCCGTTCAAATAACAAAATGCTAATTTGTGCTGTAAACGTAAGATGTATCTTAAGAAACATAAAATTCGTCAACCTTGTAACGATAATTAATTCAAAAACAATCATCCTTAATTTTGTGTTTAACGTGTCATTTTTTGAGGAGAAAAATCACATCTTAACATTGTTTATGCTGCGTCTTTGACGACTATATTGATAAATGAAAATACAATATTGCATTATACAAAAGGAGAACGATGGTGGAAGCTAAAACATAACATGGTTGTTACAAATACTTATTATGCGTTTATTCATCAGATAAAATAACAAAATTAATGTACAATTTTCATAAAAAAGTATAACTAAAAAGGAGTGAATAATATCCAATTTGCAATCAATTACCCGATTTCTGTCATTTTTTCATAAATACATATAATATATTATACAATTTTCATGTTGCATGTTGAAGAAAACACAATAATCATTATATTTTTACACCTTCGGTTTAAGTTTAACATTCATAAACTGTCAACACATATATAATTACTGTCTGACATTGTATTCGTAACTGTTCAGTTATTTCCGCCATATTTCAGATAGGGGCTTAAGAGTAATCAGTGCGGTGTTAAGAATGTCTCGTTATGCGGGCAATCTTAAGACGCAATAATAAAAATTCCACGGTAATGTAATTACATGTAGTACTGAAAACCCATGTCGTGGCAAAACCAAATACACACGGTACGAGTGACGGGGTATGTTTCTTACAATTAACCAAATATATTTCAGAATTATTTTACTATTTGTATAAAAGATACAAAAACCAAGCTTGTATAGCTCTTAATTATATGTATCATTTTATTTATGACATTGAACTGAACATCGTGTATGCCAATTTAGTTCTCTGATATAATACTTTGTTATGCACAATAAGAAGTCTCAATGGGACACAAACTCATTTTAATTATACTAATGAATACTTAAGCTCAAGTAATAGCTGATATTAATATACGCAATCACTTTTTTTCGTAAACTTCTAATACCAATGTTTCAAAGATATCCGTTCAAAGCACAAGTTTCGAAGTACATGTATTTACTTTCAAAGCCCTTTAAATTGTCCTATACCCTGTCAAATATTTGGTACATAAATACTCTCAAATAGTCAGTGATCTAAATTAGTGATTTCTCAAGTGGGTTTCTCCAAGACAAAGTATGAATGTTCACTAGTCGGCGAGGTTGGTGATTTTTGGTCAATATGCGCGTAATTGTGACTCTGATTGTGGGTATTATTTCTACTTAGGGGTTCATAAGTCTCGTCGGCTTCATTTATCTCGGGAAACTCTTCCGATGTTCCTGGTTGTACACCAGAGTACGGTGTACGTGTCTCTATCGCTGCTGGATCAGTGTAGTTAGTGTCCTCAAAATCACGGTTTGCTGATAGACGCGTGAGAGGTTGGCTTTTGTCTCCCGACGATGATGAAGTTAAAACAGGCGTATGTGGCGGCGGCCGTATCTGCAATGCGATGTTGTTCTGAAACAGACAAACACAAAATGTAACTTTTTACTGACTTTAATAAACAAGTTATTCACACTTAATAAAAAGATATATTCGTGAGTATTTTTTTCTTTAAACTCACACCAAATCAAGTGGTTCCTTAGTACTATATGATTATAATCTAAATAATATTACATTTTATCAAAATTTATACATTTTGATGTTTTGTATATCACTTCAATGGCATTCATTTTGGTACAAAGTTTCTGTCAAAACTGTATTTAAAACCTCAAAATTAAATGAGATATATATGATATTTTACTAACGTCAATGGCTGTATAATAATCACTGGTGACAGATTGTCTAAATTTCTTCTCGTAATCTTCCGTGTTCCGTAATTTCGAGTTCGCCCATCTGAAATAAAGATAACTACAATTCTTTAAATACATGTGTTGTTAACTATTGGAAGACGATGATATAAACAGCCAATGAAAGGGTCTAAAATGCATGTATGATTAATAGTTATAAAATCGGGTTCTTATCTTAAGTTTTCGTATGTGTCTTATTATAAAATCAGAGATTAAATTGTCTTTTTATCAGTGCCATTTTTTTATCATTTTTCATCATCATCATCATCATCATCATCATCATCATCATCATCATTGCAATCATTATAATTTAGTTTGGCCCTTCAACAAATTTGTATATGTCGTTCCTACATGCAATGCCAATAGTATAAGTTTTAATGTAAATACATCATTTAAAATTTCACTATTTCCAAATGAAGCTATTGTTACGAAACCAACATTAAGAAATGATGGAACGCGAATTGTAAACCTATGAGTCTGCGGCCAAATTAAACACACTGCAATTGTTGAAGCCACGCCCAGTAAGATTCCTATAAACACGAGCCCCACGAGTATTAGGACACCTGTAGTGTCATTCATCAATTGTTCCATGGAGGTAGACTTCATTGCTGAAAATATTGTACAGTATGTTAATACTTGTATTTTTCCACAGTAAAAGAAAATTTATTAATTTCTTGGCTTACTAGAAAGTATAGTTTTGAAACTGTGCTCAGTAATTTTATCTTACAAACATTTTTCATAATCTAACCGGTTTCAAAAACATGCTTTTGTTAATCACCAATTTTCGTGCACTGAAATGGATCCTTCCTACATAGCCGAATAACATTTATCACAGAAATGGCCGAAAAGTTGCGATTTCAACAATCCTGGTGCATTTTTAACAAATTACGTAATTAGTACTGTTCTGTAAGAGATTGAAGAGCTATAATTAGTTATGAAAATGACACAATATGATATTTCTCTGAATATCAATGACTCTTCAACTGACCTTTCATAGAGAATATAGAGCATATATGACAAATATTTGAAGCTATTCAATTAACATAATCAACTGCCTCTGCATGTATAGTTATTCAAAACTATAAACGGGATAAGTTAATTAAACTACTGTATGAGGGGAACCATCATAAAAATAATGTGATTGATTATAAAAAATAAGGTTGTTTTTTAAAGAGGTTGGGGAAAGGTCTATTATGAAAAGAACAAAATCTTACTGGTTGTAGAATAGACACAACTTGAAGATTCACGATAAGATTTACACAGGCTTGTGTCTGAAATGGTGAAACAGCTATTTTATAACTTGATGCTTTAAATTTAAAAAGACGGTAAAATTATTCAGAAAACAAGTATTTCATCCTATCAAAAATACGAGTACGTATGTAATAAGTGTTGAACAAATTAAATTTAGTTTATCACAAATTGTTTGAAGTATCATTTCTACAGCACAATTTTATCTTAGTCTTATAAGCGTATAAATTTATCACGTACAGTGATGTTTTAAGGAATAGTTCTTCCGTAATATGTTGGGGAAAAGCATAACCATGGTCATTTTTCTAGTTATTCTTACACAGTCTATTTTAGATAATGATATGACATTAAAAGTGAGAAATTTACCCACAAGTACAAGTAAACATACTTACACGAAAGTATACTTTTACAATCGAAGTCATGTTCCGGCGTGCACAAGGACCAGTCTGGTGCAAGTATTGGCTCCGACTCCGGTGTACAGTTCTTCAGGAAAAGACGCACTGTGGCTTCTACTGCCGGCGTTACCAAATTTCGTGTCACAAAGTCTGAACTCCTTAAAGAAGAAAACATATTATATAAATCAAACTTTCCAAACTGGCTGTAAAGAGCGGCTTGGTTGATTGGTAGAAAAGCTCCAGAAAATTTACCCCTGTGTTAGCTTTCGAATTGCTCTCAAAACTGCATGCCTCCAGATAGGCCAATATGTTTCAAGGAAATCAAACTTGAGAAAAATAAACTAAGATTTTTAGAAAAGTAAAAAGATTCAAGATTCAAGTAAAAAAGATTCAAGATTCAAGTAATAATTGTGATGTGTGATTAATGACTGATTTTGCAGTATTTATCACCATATTTCTACTAGTAATGGCTATTATTGCATAGTTTGACCTCTTTTTTGGTAATATACATGGATTTTAAGTGCCGTTTGCAATGTGTAGATTATTTTCTTTGTTTACTTACAATATTTCACTTTTAAATGTTTTTTTTTTTCAAGACAATTTAAAAACATGACTCCTTTTAACTATATAGTTTTACTCTATCCAAGAAGGGTCTATGGTTTTTGAATTATTCAACATTTAAAGCTTCCTACAAAAAGAGTGGTATAATAACATTTTTCTCATAAGAATGATCAGGGTCTTTCTATTTGATAGACCCTGGAATGATATAGACCTTTTTACAATACGATTTTCCATAGCAACGAATGTTGCATTTCGCGCATGCGCATTCTGCGTAGGGCAAAAAGCAATAACGATGTCTACAGTTTATCATACTTTAAGGCTTTAATAGATGCGATTTCATGTTATGTCACCCAAAAAATATTAATTTTGGGATGACTTAAGGCGGTAAGTACTGAAAACGTGAATTTATTTTTTAACAGATCTACGAAAATGTGCGGGAGTAATAATTCAATGGTCAAAACGGGCACACACATGTCTTTGTTTCGACTTTTCCATCAGTAATTTAAATTGAAACAGCAGGGTGTTAAAGATAAAATTTTATTACCCCTGTATTACATAATATTACGCAATTTGTATTGTACACTTCCTTTGAATAACTGGATTGGTCAGGCGGCAAGTGTCAAACAGATTGGCACGCGGACGTTTGTTCATTCAACCGGGATGTTTAAATATCATTATTTTCTCCCTCAATTCGTTCGTCCGAAAATAAATTATTTCTTTCCTAAACCATATAATACAAACCAAGAAATAAGAAAACCCAGATAATGTTCAATAGAAGTGGGTTTACTAAAGCTCATATGCATATTTTTACATCAATACATTGCACAACATAATGACATATCAAAGGAACGCCTTAATTAGTACATACGTTCAAATAAATATATTAAATACTTCTGTAATAGCAACAACATGAACAATGTTGACTATAATTAAACTATAAACATACTTCATCTGACGAATTTGAAATCAATGGATCAATACTATGAAATGGGACCTACAAAACGAAAAACAACCATTCTAAAATAAATATTCGGAAACACAGGTTAATCATATGCTGCGAGGCGGCTGCCCCAACCCCAACTCTTATTATTATTCTTTTTTTAATTTATAGTTTAAGAGGGGGGAGGTAGGGAGAATCCAAAGCTCTGGCCAGCGAACAGGCTCTCTCCGCCCCCTGCTTTCCGAACATTCTTTTTGTATTAAGAATTACTTAACAAGATAAAACTTTAAGCAAAATAAATCAATTTGACAATTCCTCTCGATACAATTATTGATAAGTCGCATTGTAAAATCCCATCTTTGTCAACTAACTTGAAATATTCATTTATAAAACATTCTATTAATGTATATAACAAGTATCAACCGTCTCCTCATGAATAAACAATTTAAAATTTTTTAAGAAATTTGGTGAACCTTGCGAACTGTGTAGTAAACCTCGAATGATTTAAAACCGCGAAAATACTCATGAAAATCTCGTGCCCCGTGCATTATTCTACCCAATTATAAACCAAACACCAAAAAGATTAATAAGTACCAAAAAGAAAAGAGTATGATATAGTTAATCAGTTACGCTTATTAAAATGGTAATTTATGTAACTTTTAAATATACCGATCAATGTTTATGGATTTTGAGAAGAGAAAAATTGTGTGACGTGCATTATTAAAAATAACATGTATTACGAAGAAGCGGATAAAATGTGTGTTATATCTTTTCCAAACAACCCATCTTAACTTCTCAAGATTTTGAAAAAAAAAATTATTTAAAATCTATTTATGTGACTTAAATTTTTCTGTTTGCATCACAGGCAAATCGGATAAAGGATATAATCAGGTATATTGAACACTAAAAATGCATTATCACCTGTTCTGATATTTTTTCTGAATGATAATTAATCTCGATTTCATGTTATATAATTTCTTTTGTTTTTAAATGAACTATTTCAACAGCAAATAAGTTGACTTTTCATTTGCTAATAGATATATTTCCACATCTTCTTTAAAAAAATGATCTCAGTGTCAGGTCCGTGATCGTAAATTCTTAAACAAATATCTTTTCCAAGCCTTTTTATTGCATTCTCCGCCACAAAGCTATAAAGTCATCTTTTCTTTATTTGTTAAAAAGCTATTTTATATAATTTTCTACCGTTTACCTTGAACTAACTCGGAATTGTCTATGAACTTCTACTATATTTCTATGTAGGGCGAAGCATTTTTTGCCCTACGCAGATTGCGCATGCGCGAGAAAATTCTAATTCCGGTCGATTTTTCATAGCAACGGACCGCGTCGTAAAACGGTCTATATATAATAATATTGATTTATTTTGGGGTTAAAGCACTCCGCGCAACTCCGTAAATTAGTCAGATAACTTCCACATACGACACGAATTAACGTCCCCTTTATCCGTCATTCAAATCCACGTTGCGACGTCCCTATCTGACATTCAAACCCACGTTGTGAGGACTCGTAAAATCTAGTCTTTGAAATGTTATATTTGATACTCGCACATCAGTTAAACATAGCATGATAATCAAAATTACATTTAAATATTTTGTAAACTTAAAGCATCATGCCTTATGATTTATGCTTATTTTAATGAAAATTTGTAAAATGTTTTTAAAAGTAAAATATTTTGAAGTGAACAAAGTTATTAATTTACACATTGCAAACGACGCTTACAATCCACGTAACTTACAAAAAAATAAAGCAAAATAAGCAAAAATAGCTCTTACACATAAAATAATTGACTCTTGAATCGATTTATTTTTCTTAAACTCTTAGTACATTTTTCATAAGTTTGATTCTCTTGAAATATCTTAAGGCATGCAGATTTAAATTCACACCAAAAGAATAAGTGACGAACTTAGTTGTTCTTTTCATGACTTTTTTAAAGTTCAAATTGTTTTTGTTTTAAATATACAGAAATAAATCTCTTTTTTGCAGACTGAAAATAAAATCGGTAGTTCTACATACACACGATATACGCAAGAAATATCAATATTAATTACCTGCAAATTGATTCTGCACTAAAATCTTCAAATCCTTTCAATGACCAACTCGACATGTCTGAAACATACAAAAATTATTAATTCTCAAGGTTGTTTCGCATAAATTTATATTTTCGTATAAATTTCATTCATCTGTTTGTTTATCTGTAATAAAACTATTCATGAAATTATGGCCTAAAGTACTTTTTTCAATAAATCGGCGAATAATCGCTTTAAATAAGCATGAGATTTTACATTTACTTCCTAGTACAGTTAGGCAATTTGACTTTTAGATGTTCTGAGAGTGTTTTCCTATTGTGTATACGTTAAAACCTTAAAGTATGTTTTATTTTACATTCAAAAGGAGACTGTATAGCAATTTGGAGACCGTATAGCAATTTGAAGTTGTTGTATTTCTTGTAAAATAAAAATCTTTAAATATTTCATTATTTTTAGGAGGAAGTGAAGATCCCTCTCATTATAGTGAGGAACCCGGATGTGAAAAAAATTACGTGTATTTCTTTCCGTAAAACACACAGTTTCAATTTCGGTAAAAAAAACTGACTTTTCCTGTTGAAACATTCTTCGTTTGGGTAACTAACTAGAATGAGAGGTTTCTATACTTTATCTCATTAGAAGTATGAACGAAAATACTATCGGGCCCGTCTTTTATTTAGGTTTTCTGTCCCATGCAGTTTTTTATAAACCGTCACTGAAATCGCAATAAAGACACTTTTAAAAGATATATCTACCCTAATGGGCACTATAAGCAACTGAAAAAAATGACGACACTGTCAATTAGGGTAGATACTGTATAGCTTTTAAAAGTGTCTTTATTGTGATTTTAAAGGTCCATTATGCCTAAAAATGGTTTCAAAGCGTTTAATGTTTGGTGCTCTGTTATAGTTTCCTTGAAGTAACTCATTGGCCAATTACCTGAAACATCTTTTTCATCTGATGCTGTTTGGCAATAAGTACAGTTATTGTGAATCAGTATTTTGTATGGAAGTCAAAATACTACTTTGTTTACATTTTACTACTTATCAAAACAAACTACATGTTTTCACATTTATCGCTACGTTCTCCATGTAATTAGTATCTAACATGCTCTAAACCACTATTTAAACATGAAAAAGGTGGTAGTTGGTTATTCGTAAACAGCTGGTAGCTAGTACATTCATTTTTGCGCTTTCTAATTTATTCATTTCTGAGGGTTATTGTGCCTTTAATTTGGAAGTGTTTAACACAAGACCTCTCATTGTCACCCTTTAACTCTTTTGTTCATTTGGGGTCACATACATGTCTAGTGTTGGAACGTTTTATTTATAATAAGTTATTACATTAATTAACAATTGAAACAGTTTCTTAATACAATTACTTACAAAGTTACAGCCAATTTAGCGTAATTTTGATAGCAAAACACAGTGTTTTATGTGATGCCAATGTCTACATGTTTCACTGTATTTGTTAATCTTAAAACATGTAAAATAACTATTGTATTCCTGACCAAGCATTGACCGTAAATTATTCCAAGGGTATCTTTTGATAGCGAAATTCAAATGATATTATACCCTATACGGTCGATTAACTTTTTTGTTTAACACAGCAGTCTACCTTATATAATTGGTATACCTCTATTTTATGCGGATAAGACAGGGTAATAAGTAATAGAAAGAGCACCGAAACACGAGGTTATCTGATTTGTACGAGGGGGCGTAGCCCCCCGAGTATTAATCAGATTACCGAGTGTTTTGGTGTTCTTTCTCTTTTGTATCATAGTCAAACATAAAAACACGTTCCCTGTTGTTACAATATGAAACCCCGGCAAAAATGAACCAATGAACGAGCATCTTAATATGACATTTCTGTCGATTTCACTTTCACTTCCGTCACAATATGTAAACCCCAGCAAAAATGAGCCAATCAATGGGCATGCTCTGGAGTGCGGGTAACTAATACCCGCACTCCAGTTAACGCACTGTGCATGTATATGTATACGATTTAACCCTGACACATTTTCAACAGAAAGGTCTCCAAACTATGATACAAATAATAAATACATGTATTATCCTTTAACTTTTCTGAAAATACATTGTACAAGTAATAGAAAGAGCACCGAAACTCGAGGTTATCTGATTTGTACGAGGGGGCGTAGCCCCCGAGTATTAATCAGATTACCGAGTGTTTTGGTGTTCTTTCTCTTTTGTATCATAGTCAAACATAAAAACACGTTCCCTGTTGTTACAATATGAAATCCCGGCAAAAATGAACCAATGAACGAGCATCTAAATATGACATTTCTGTCGCTTTCACTTTCACTGCCGTCACAATATGTAAACCCCAGCAAAAATGAGCCAATCAATGGGCATGCTCTAGAGTGCGGGTAACTAATACCCGCACTCCAGTTAACGCACTGTGCATGTATATGTATACGATTTAACCCTGACATATTTTCAACAGAAAGGTCTCCAAACTATGATACAATGTATAGTGAATATTAGTTTTGTGTTTGATAATATCTCTCTACGTAAACAGATCTAAACATTCTCACGAATATTAATGCACGTATACACGGAGATGCACGTTTAAAAGAAAGATAGATATATCACTCGTTGTTTTTATAATATTAAGATTATAATATTTTAATACAGTTACGCTCGTGGTTTATTTTTACATAATGGGAAGTATACAATATATCAATAATGAGAAAGTTGATCAAGTGGTTAAGGTATCTGCCCCTCAACCCTGGGACAGAAAGTTCGAGCCCAAATGGGGTAACAACTATAATTGTTTATATGATACGGAAATTAGTCATATTGTTAACAAAACGTACTCGTACACGGACAGAATATTTATTGATATAATATTACTTACTGCTCCTCATTTCATCCGGTGTCAATGAATATTTCATCCTTAATCCTTACAATAAAATAAATCACTGATTTGATATGTACAAAAATGTTTCGTAAATATTTTCTTTACGTACTTCCTAATCCGGAAGAGTGTAATTGAGGTACAAAAAAATGTACTTGTAACTAAGTATCCTGACCCCTGTCTTTATATATCTTAAATACTATAAACAATAACTACACTATACACGAATTTCGTAATTTTAGACCGATCCAAATTTCCTAGAACAATACAAATAGCCTTTTCTTTTTGAAAGAAAATTAAAATAACGACCCATTTTCTTATTCATGTAAACATCTCGCATGAACAACTCGAATATAAAAAGCACATGTGTATATTTTTAGGTATCGTTTATCGGTCTATTGAAAATATAAAACACGCATGGGTTGACAATGTTTTACAGCATGACACATTCTGTTTTCTCTATCATATACTATTTCAGCTGATTTAATAAAATCAATTGGAAACTATTCATGTTAAAAGCAACACGCCTCTAAAATTACATACTACTTTTTTAATAAAATAAAAAAAATTAATAAAATAAAAAAAATCCTTAAATACTGACATATTTTTAAAGACGTATGGAAGGCGCGTAAATTACGCACAAGTCAACAGTCACACAGACCCCTTACCCCCGGGGCTGTGCAGGGGTAATAAGTGGAGCCATTAACTTCATCCAATCCACGCTTTGTAAGGTATTGCTGTAGGTCGTTTTATAAGTGCCAAAATAGCCATGGATATGTAAAAGTCGGTATTTAGATGGGGACATTTTCAGAATGTTTCCGCATGATGGGCTCTTTACCGGGGACAAAAGCCAAAACTTCACCTATTTCTTGTGGTGGGGATCTGTTTGCAATGGTCTTTTGCATTAATACGTTTTCATTCATCTATTGTTGTAAATACAACTTCCGGATTGTCATGCTCACTTGACGTAAAACAAAACACGGACGTAATGAAATGCACCTGAGTGCAAATAGATTAATAGAGTTAAAATATTATATTTAAACGGGTGTTTTTGCGATCCCTTGTTAGAATATAAGGATTTGTTGGGTTTCTTTAAAAATGATTATAGGTATTGTCTTTGTGAAGCAAAAAGCTATCAAATATCCTCAAGTTCGTATACAGCAAGAATAAAATATATCTAAAGCCCTGCAAAGTAAGAAATATTTTCATATCAATGAAAAATTAACATGTACGTGCCACATGGTTAAAAAGTTTTCTTAGTGAGTGATAAACGGTGATATTTCAACAATTTTTGGTGATTTACAGTGAGTGACAAACAGACGTATATACAGTCAGTGATACATAGTGAATTATATACAATGAGAAATACGCGTGTGTTATATACAATGAGAAATACACAGTGTGTTATATACAATGAGAAATACACAGTGTGTTATATACAATGAGAAATACACATTATGTTATATACAATGAGAAATACACAGTATGTTATATACAATGAGACATACACATTATGTAATATTCAACGAGAAATACACAGTATGTTATATACAATGAGAAATACACATTATGTAATATTCAACGAGAAATACACAGTATGTTGTATACAATGAGAAATACACAGTATGTTATATACAATGAGACATACACATTATGTAATATTCAACGAGAAATACACAGTATGTTATATACAATGAGAAATACACATTATGTAATATTCAACGAGAAATACACAGTATGTTGTATACAATGAGAAATACACAGTATGTTATATACAATGAGACATACACATTATGTAATATTCAACGAGAAATACACTGTATGTTATATACAATGAGAAATACACAGTATGTTATATACAATGAGAAATACACTGTATGTTGTATACAATGAGAAATACACAGTATGTTATATACAATGAGAAATACACTGTATGTTATATACAATGAGAAATACACAGTTTGTTATATTCAACGAGAAATACACAGTATGTTGTATACAATGAGAAATACACAGTGTGTTATATACAATCAGAAATACACAGTGTGTTATATACAATGAGAAATACACAGTGTGTTATATACAATGAGAAATACACTGTATGTTATATACAATGAGACATACACATTATGTTATATTCAACGAGAAATACACAGTATGTTGTATACAATGAGAAATACACAGTGTGTTATATACAATCAGAAATACACAGCGTGTTATATATACAACGAGAAATACACAGTGTGTTATATACAATCAGAAATACACAGCGTGCTATATATACAACGAGAAATACACAGTGTGTTATATACAATGAGAAATACACATTATGTTATATTCAACGAGAAATACACAGTATTTTATATACAATGAGAAATAAACAGTGTGTTATATACAATCAGAAATATACAGTTATGTTACATACAATAAGAAATATACAGTATGTTACATACAATGAGAAATACACAATATGTTATATACAATGAGAAATACACAGTATGTTGTATACAATGAGAAATACACAGTGTGTTATATACAATCAGAAATACACAGCGTGTTATATATACAACGAGAAATACACAGTGTGTTATATACAATCAGAAATACACAGCGTGTTATATATACAACGAGATATACACAGTGTGTTATATAATATCAGAAATATACAGTATGTTATATACAATGAGAAATACACAGTATGTTATATACAATGAGAAATACACAGTGTGTTATATAATATCAGAAATATACAGTATGTTAAATACAATGAGAAATACACGGTATGTTTTATTACCCTTCCAGATTTTTTCCGCATTTTTGATTGGTTATTGATCACCCCGAAAGAAATTGATATTACCGAGCCAGACGGGTAATATACACACTAAATTTCCCCGTTGGGTACCCCACGTTGTAAACAACATGCGCTGAGGTGATGCGCGTACGGTTCGATTTTACGCGGTGTAAATTCCGATTTACAAGCACTTTTTAACTGTCAAATGATAAATGTTTACCAAAGTAAAGTAATGATACATATTCTCATCAGTATTGAAAACAAATATGGCCTTGTGAAAGCTTGATATTAATTTTAATAGACGACTCCTTTTCTCTTGTTTACATTCGTTAGGTACAGGAAAAATACGTCATGTATTTATGTGACGTCATGTTGTGATGAAGGGGTACCCTAAAGGGAATCTTATTTAGACTTTTCATTTGAAACAACAACAAATTTTTAAAAAATCGTCTAAACTCCGCAGGGGAAGGGTAATAAAATTATTATTTTGGTTTTGGAGTGATATATGTGGATATATTACCTGCCAAGATAAAATATCACCCTCGCCTAACGGCTCGGGTGATATAAAATCTTAGCAGGTAATATATCCACATATATCACTCCAAAACCAAAATAACATATAATATACAATGAGAAATATACAGTATGTTATATACAATGAGACATACACAGTATGTTATATACAATGAGAAATACACAGTATGTTATATACAATGGGAAATACACAGTATGTTACATGCAATGAGAAATATACACAGTATGTTACATACAATGAGAAATACACTGTATGTTATATACAATGAGACATACACAGTATGTTACATGCAATGAGAAATATACACAGTATGTTACATACAATGAGACATACACAGTATGTTATATACAATGAGACATACACAGTATGTTATATACAATGAGAAATACACAGTATGTTACATGCAATGAGAAATATACACAGTATGTTACATACAATGAGAAATACACTGTATGTTATATACAATGAGAAATACACTGTATGTTATATACAATGAGAAATACACAGTGTGTTATATACAATGAGAAATACACAGTATGTTACATGCAATGAGAAATATACACAGTATGTTACATACAATGAGAAATACACAGTGTGTTATATACAATGAGAAATACACTGTATGTTATATACAATGAGAAATACACAGTGTGTTATATACAATGAGAAATACACTGTATTTTATATACAATGAGAAATACACAGTGTGTTATATACAATGAGAAATACACTGTATGTTGTATACAATGAGAAATACACAGTGTGTTATATACAATGAGAAATACACTGTATGTTGTATACAATGAGAAATACACTGTATGTTATATACAATGAGAAATACACTGTATGTTATATACAATGAGAAATACACTGTATGTTGTATACAATGAGAAATACACAGTGTGTTATATACAATGAGAAATACACTGTATGTTGTATACAATGAGAAATACACAGTGTGTTATATACAATGAGAAATACACTGTATGTTATATTCAATGAGAAATACACAGTGTGTTTTATACAATGAGAAATACACACAGTATGTTATATACAAGGAGAAATACACAGTGTGTTTTATACAATGAGAAATGCACAGTATGTTATATACAATGAGAAATACACAGTGTGTTATATACAATGAGAAATACACAATATGTTATATACAATGAGAAATACAGTGTGTTATATACAATGAGAAATACACAGTGTGTTTTATACAATGAGAAATACACATTATGTAATATTCAACGAGAAATACACTGTATGTTATATACAATGAGAAATACACTGTATGTTGTATACAATGAGAAATACACATTATGTTATATACAATGAGAAATACACTGTATGTTATATACAATGAGAAATACACTGTATGTTGTATACAATGAGAAATACACAGTGTGTTATATACAATGAGAAATACACTGTATGTTATATACACTGAGAAGTACACAGTGTGTTATATACAATGAGAAATACACAGTGTGTTATATACAATGAGAAATACACAGTGTGTTATATACAATGAGAAATACACTGTATGTTATATACAATGAGAAATACACAGTGTGTTATATACAATGAGAAATACCCAGTATGTTACATACAATGAGAAATACACACAGTATGTTACATACAATGAGAAATACACAGTGTGTTATATACAATGAGAAATACACTGTATGTTATTTACAATGAGAAATACACTGTATGTTATATACAATGAGAAATACACTGTATGTTATATACAATGAGAAGTACACAGTGTGTAATATACAATGAGAAATACACAGTGTGTTATATACAATGAGAAATACACAGTGTGTTATATACAATGAGAAATACACAATATGTTATATACAATGAGAAATACACAGTGTGTTATATACAATGAGAAATACACAGTGTGTTTTATACAATGAGAAATACACACAGTATGTTATATACAATGAGAAATACACAGTGTGTTATATACAATGAGAAATGCACAGTGCGTTATATACAATGAGAAATACACAGTATGTTATATACAATGAGAAATACACTGTATGTTATATACAATGAGAAATACACTGTATGTTATATACAATGAGAAATACACAGTGTGTTATATGCAATTTGAAATACGCAGTATGTTACATACAATGAGAAATACACACAGTATGTTACATACAATGAGAAATACACAGTGTGTTATATACAATGAGAAATACACAGTATGTTATATACAATGAGAAATACACAGTGTGTTATATACAATGAGAAATACACAGTATGTTATATACAATGAGAAATACACAGTGTGTTATATACAATGAGAAATACACAGTGCGTTATATACAATGAGAAATACACAGTATGTTATATAACATGAGAAATACACAGTGTGTTATATACAATGAGAAATACACAATATGTTATATACAATGAGAAATACACAGTGTGTTATATACAATTAGAAATACATAGTATGTTATATGCAATGAGAAATACACAGTGTGAAAAATGAAGTGAGCAAATGATCTGAAAGTTTACATACAATTTATTGGTCAAGAACTTCATCAAATTGAAAATTAATGCCAAAAAATCTAGACCCAACCTCAGTGGAGTCCCTTTAAACCAAATGCGGTTGACACCTTTATAACTAATTATATTAAACACCATTAAAAATGAATTTCTGTATTATGTAATAATTTATTGTGAACAGAATTGTAATACAGTGATTATTTTTTTACATATCAGCTAAGCAGGTTTTTCAAGTGAATCAAATATTTTTTATGAAAATATGAAACATAAAAATTTCTGGAGAGTCACGCAACAACAATAGTATTTTTGTCACACAGCAAATACAATTTTTATGAAAATATGAAACATAATGATTTCTAGAGAGTCACGCAACAACAATAGTATTTTTGTGACACAGCAAATACAAGTACCTACGCCATTTAAAAGGCTTATTGGTATATTGCAAAGAGATATTTAAATTGCATGCTTCATAATAAAAGTTACAAAATTCGTGTCATTCGACTAGGTTATCGGTATACAAAATGAATTATCTCCCTTTGAATTCACAACTGCAGCAAATCGGGATTATCCAAAAATGTTATCAACCTTTTACTTCTTTATTTTTATGGAAAAAAAATCGAATAAGATAAATCGATGGACTGTATTAGACGCAATCTCTGCGTAGGGTGTCATGCAATAGTTCAAGGACATTATCTATTGTTTTATTTAATGAAAACAATTTGTAAAGCAATATTCATGTCTTTATACATTACCCTCAAATTTGACTCTATATATTCAACGCGCTGCAAGCCAGGATAAAAAAGCGAAAATGATTTTGACCAAATAATGTTCCATAAAAATAGACCCAAAAATAGTTTTAAGCATGTACGGGAAGAGGATGAAGAAAGTGGGAACAAAAACGATGTGCATTATACACATTCTGTGACAACTTTAAATTGTTGTATGAATTTCTCCAATTTCCAGTCACATGTGTTGCGCCCCATTAAAGCAAAAAGGTACCAAGCAACATTTTGGCCAAAAATGACTTAACATTTTCCATTATGTATTAATGTAATCTTTAATCTGTAGAAATATTTCTGTTTTATCCTGTTTATTTACAGACATATAAGGCTATGTAAAAAAGTACAAAAAGGTACCATATGCATACCATTTTGAGCAAAAAAGTACCAAGTTTCACATGGTACCTTTTTGCTTTAAATGACAATATAAGTTTTGGAGCACTTATTTTTATGCAAAAAGGAACCATATGCCACATGGCCCTTTTCTGCACACAAATAATTTACAATCTAAAAGATTATTTTATATAAGACATTGTTTGCTTGGTACCTTTTAGTTTGTTTATGAATACACATAGATGTTGATAAGGACATAAAATATAGCAATGTATCCCAGAGTATTGTTTCTCTTTTAACTGAAGAATGATAATAGTGTGAAGATAACTTGCCCATTAGTTATAAATTACAACCTATCACTTTACAAACACAAGAAATGCCAATGTTAATTATATACACTGTGCAATAGAAAAAAAGCAGCAGTTACACTAGATGGTGAGCTCTAGGAAGCATATATTGGACAACAAAAACAGAAGGAAAATGCATAAGAAGAAAAGGCTAAATATATTAAAGCTAGAGCAAAAAGCGACAGATGCGTTTATGTTGCATGTTTTGATCTCGAGGCCGTCGTAACAGCCCTCTTCTCAGTAGTGAGTGAGCTTTACTACTCAAGGAAACTCTGTTGCAGTATATTTCTTAGGAGAAAAAACTGTTGTATGCCATGTATGGGATAAAATCAACTGCAAAAGACGAGCATGTGAAATAGCTACCTGCTTAATGAAAAGCTGGAGTGGTCACGTCAAAGAAGTGCTATATTTTTCAGATTCATGCGGGATACAAAACAGAAACCAATCCGTAAATTACAAAAAAATGTATTCCATAAATCGCTAGTTGTTTTAGTTTTACGAAACTATAGACTGTGTTGATATTCACATTTATCACCATCAATTCGTGACTCTCTTCTATTACAAGTTCCAAATATAATGTTGATCAGGCACAAATTCCTTGTATCGTTCACTCACAGATGGAGTGTGATTCTGTTTATTCGACTATTGAAGGGGCAAAGAAATAACGCCTGGATATGGTCAATCTCAGTGGTGTACTCTTATATCACTGGCCAGAAAATCACAGTCATATATTGCCATAATTTCTTATCAGTGGCCAAAAAGTGAACAAGATATGAAGTTATGTTATGATACGAAACGTCTAGTTTCAGATATAATAAAACTGTAACCAAATGATGCTTTTTGTTAATATTATCGGGATATATGGTACCTTTTTGTGATATATTTTTACAGCAAATGTTAAAACTCATTACATGGTACCTCGGTCAAAATACTTATTAGTGCAAAAAGAAACAATTCATTTAATTGATATATTATCACTTATTAGTAACATATTAGCTTTCTAACTTTTTGAGCATATACATTCAAATATTATCTAAATATATGTGAAGTTGCTCTGTTAGGTTGTTAAAACCTAATTTGATATGGAACTTCAAATCTTTAAACGTGATTTTCTCACAAACATGAAATAGTCACTTGGTATTTTTTGCTTTAATGGGGCATGTTGGATGGACAAAAATACAATATAAAGAAACAGAATAAAATATCCAACAGATGTCAGCCATAGTAATAATAAAATAAATGTTTGATTACTTTGAATTGTTTAAAAGCAAAAGAGCTGGATCACAAGTTGTATTGACATAGGAGGAATGGCCTTTTCCAGAAGACAAGTCAAAACATTTTTTTAAAGTAGCATTGTTTTCTTTGTATGTCAGCCACAGTAATTTAAGGATTAATGTCATATTAAAGTATGCCAAAAAAGATGCTCACACCCAGTGGTATGTTGTATCCATGTATGAATCTCAATTTTATAGTTCATCCATGGAGAGACATTCAAACCGACATGATAAGAACAATATGCTCCCTCCATGATTGGTCGATCAATGCCTGGGAAGAGATGGATGGGGGATCATTTCTATATTAAGCGTAACGTTCGGTTTTTTCAAGAATGAAGTAGGATGGATTAGTCGCAACGTCATTCACTGCGTAAGCAAGTGATTCGGATTCATTTGTCTCAGCCATGGGTTCCAGAACGAAATATATGTGCCCGGAGTCCTGGTAATTCGAATCCCTGGCTTCATTGTCGGCAAAATACTGTGATACTGGTTTCACTCTATTGGTTCCAGGCTCTAGTATAAAGTACACGTGACCCGGATCTCGCTCAAGGGTTTCCGTTTTGCATTCTAATGGTTTAACTGGCAAGCGTTTGTCTGACCCTGGCTCAAGAATGAAATAGTCATGATTTTCAATTGTGTCCTCTTGTTTCTTGGTTAGATTTCCGGGCGCAAATGGCTCATAACTGTGGTTCGTCGTCTTTTTATCGGTATTTTTACCGGAAGTTTTGTCATCAAGATCAGAGTATTTGTGCGTTTGTTTTCCCACTGAGCATTGTTCATACCGTTGTCTCGTTTCCTTATTAGAACTTGTTCTATTGGCGGCCATTTGTTCTGGTGAATCAAATGTCTCTTTCTGAAAAAGAAAACATATGAATACCATGTATTCACTATTGTTTAGTAAAATATCTATCTGACTATGAGAAAATGTGTGATATATTTACTTCCGGATTTAGCAGTAAAATGTACAATCTATGAATATAAAACTTCCTTTTTTATGACTAACAGCCATCTAGTTACTGGATAATCTTTATCGTAAATAGTTCACAATTTCTTAACATTTAACACAAAATAATTATCTTCAAATGTTGTAAAGTATACTGTTTCTGCTTATATTACAAATAAATATCTTTAAGTTAGATTATATTTTTTCGTATGTACATTATCATTTGCGTTATTGTTACCAATATATTTTTTTTATTACATGTATTTCAATTTGAAAAAACACAATGCGAATGAATATTACATGGCAACAGCACCATGTTTAAGTCGAAAAACGTGGGTATGACTAAGATATGCCACGGAGACTTAGGCACAACGTACACTGTAAATGAGGAGAACACCGGACGCGTTCACACTTGTTCAATTTTGGAACATTGCGCGTTTATATTTTGAATGCCTGTGTTCAGAAAAGGAGTTCTATTTACGAGTTGAACACTTATCATTTGAACGTCAGTGTTCAATGGTAGTCCTTCTGACTAGACAACATGAAAGATTTTGAGTGTTTGACTACTTGGGTGAGTTTTTTGGTCAATATATTGTCAGTTGGGGTTACATTTACGCAATTTAACAAGTAATGGTGCTTTAATAATTAAAACATTTTAAAGTGGAACATGATATGAACAGTAGCGTTCATCGAATGTTCTAATTGAGAACGTTTCTAAAAATAGATTTGTGACAATTTCTGACGTCATTCAAGTACCACAACAACAACAACAAGTAAGCGTTTGCGAAACGCAATTTTAACAATGACTAAAATTGAAGAAAAAAAAACGGTATTAACTTTTACTTCTTTAGCTTTCTTTTTTATCCATAATTATTTTATTTTTCTGAAAAGAACTAAGTCGTCATATTGTTGTAGTTATTAACGTGTCTCCTTATATACAAGGAGAAGCTCTATGTGATATTGTAGATTTTTTATGAGTAGTCGGGGTTAGATCTATTTAAATGCAAATTTTAATGAATTCTTTAGAAATTGTGTATCTTTGTATGATATATTGTGTTGCTTTATATTTTAATAGGATAGCGAGTAAGTAGTGTTGTTTCAAGCAGTGATGAAAGATTTGAACTATAGACTGTAGATCTACAGAAACTGTTCCAGACTTCCATACAGATCTTTGAGGTTTGTTTCTTTAAACAATATTAGGTTGATAATATTTAAATTCTTACATTTCCAAATGAGCTTTTATTGTTAATCAAATCATTTTACATTCCATAACTGTTACAAAGATGGCCTGACATTGTGTCACAAATAAATTGTGTCGTACAAGAGTCGTAGCTACGGATTTAAATCGACTTTGTGAGAATGTGCATGGCCCTGGTGATGTCAGAATTATATTAAGATAATCTGACTTGAATCTGGTGATAAACTGTTAGATAATGCTTAAACATAATATATATATTATATACATGTATGTCAACCACTTAGGCTGTTATTCTCTATATCAGAACTGTAAAGAATGATTTATCTCATAGGAAGCAACTATAAGCCTTTAAATCACCAGCATGTTAATAAATTCCATTAATGTTTTCCAGGATAGTGAAGAATATGATTTTCCTGCTAAATTGGAGACAAATGAAAACACCCCGCACAAACTGATGACATACATTACAGAGGGGAGCAACTGTCCTTTGGTGTTTCGACATAGAATATTGATTATTGTTTATGTACTCTCGCAGCAGTTTGTATTTGCGAAGAAATTTAGGAAATTATCCTTAATTCATGTGTTATGTTAAGAAGACTGCATTCACGCACACAAGAATATAACACATAAAAATACAACATGTAATAACAATACGTGAAACAATGCTAGGATATTGAGAGACAGGTTATGTTGCTGTGTGATTACTCGTATTTTTGTGGTCTGAAATGAAACGCAAGATTCATGTTATCATGTACAAACAAGTTACTGAAAGAACTTTGTAAAACAGTATTTAATTTTTTACATTTTGATCATAATTGTTAATCTTAAAATCTTTTCATTTTTTACTTTACAACTGCTTACCAGGCTTAGAGTTAGAAAATAATAAGAAATTTTGGATAACATTATTCATTTTGTTATTGTGAATAACTAAAGAATAATTAAAAAATCTCAATATGATTCTTTGATCTGTTGTTTTATCAGGTGTTCAAATGTTAACATAAGTGTTCATCAGTGTTCTAACTTTTAACATATCTAATTTTGAACATGTTCTATGCGTTCAATATCTGTTGCATCGAAATTGAACGCGTCTGGCATTTAAAAGTAGAACACCTGAGTGTTCATAACATGTTCTATAATGGAATGGTTTGGTGTTAAGATTTTAACGTCAACGTTAAAATTTGAACCCTAGATGTTCATAAGGCGCTAGTATATGAACGGTTGGAGTCAATAGTTGAACACTAGTATTAAGAAATGGAACGCGTCTTGGCGTTCAATATCTGTTGCAAATAGGCGTTCAAGATGTGTTCTATTCTTGAACATTTACATTTACAGTGTATGCTTTTGATGAAAATAATAAAGATTTAAGTAATAAAACAGATTATCTGAGTGCAAAATGTAACTTTGTTTAAATATGTATCACAAATAGATGCAATTAGTTGTTTTGAAGGATTCTATCACACTGAGAACGGTGCCTTGTTTTCTCTAAACTTCAAGAATCATGAACACGATGTTTTTTCCTTCCACTTTATAGTCATATCAAACCCGAAAGCCATTATGACCCTTCAGGCCTTTAATATATCATTAATGAAAATTCTAATTGAATGATGGACACTATGAATGTTTTGAATTACGAATTCTGACCTCATCTATTTCGGAGTAATCGTTAGATCTTGTAACTTCCCTGCTGTCCGAGCAGCGCTCCTCCTTGTGTAAGATACTTTTTTGTGATGATCCACAACATTTTAGAAACTGTAACTTTCTGAAACAGAAATTTTGACTTGTGAATTGTAGTTTGTTATCCCTAATTGTTATCCCTTTTTTTTTTTAAGGCCCCCCAAAATAGTTTCCCTTTTTTTTTTTTGGTTTTTTTAAAAAAGGAAACTTTTTTAAAAAACTTTTTAAAAAAAAAATTTTAATTTTAAATTTTTGGGGGAACCCAAAATTTTTTAAATTTTTTTTTTTTTTAAAAATTTTTTAAAAACCCTTTTTTTTAAAAAATTTTTTTTTAATTTAAAGTTTTTAAAAAATTTTAGGGCTAAAAAAAAAAAAAAAATTTTTGGGGTTTTTTTGGGGGGTTTAAATTTAAAAAAAATTTTTTTTGGTTTTTTAAAAAACCCTTTTTTTAAAAGAAAAAATTTAATTTTTTTTTTTTCCCCCAAGTTTTTTTTAAAAAAATTTTTAAAAAAAAAACCAATAAAATTTTTTGGGGGGGGTTTTTTTTTGGGGGGTTTTTTTTAAATTTTAAAAATGAAAGGGTTTTAAAAAATTATTTTTTTTTGGGGGTTTTCCCTTTTTTTTTTTTCCCCCCCGGGGGAAAAATTTTTTTTTTAAAAAAAAAAAAAACTTTTTCCTTTTTTTTTAAAAAAAAAAAAAAAATTTTTTTTTTTTTAAAAAAAAAAAAGGGGGGGTTTTTGGGTTTTAAATTTTTTTTTTTTTTTTTTTTTTTTTTTTTTAGGAATAATTTTTAAAAAACCCCCTTTTTTTTTTTTTAAAAAAAAAGGGCCTTTTTTAAAATTTTAAAAACCCCCAAAAAAAAACCCCAAAAATTTTTTTTTTTTTTTTTTTAAAAAAAATTTTAAAAAATTTTTTCCCCAAAAAAAAACCCCCCCCTTTTTTTTTGGGGGTTTTTTTTTTTAAAAAAAATTTTTTGTTTCAAAAACAAAAAAAAAAAAAACCTTTCCAAACCCCAAAAAAAACCAAAAAAAAAAAAAAAAAATTTTTTAAAATAAAAAAGTTTTGGGAAATTTAAAAATTTTTTTGTTTTTGGGGTTTTGGGGGTTTTAAGGGTTTTTTTTTTTTTTTTTTTGGCTTTTTTTTTTTTTTTTGGGAAAAAATTTGGAAATTAAAATTTTTTAAAATTTTTTTCCCCCAAAAAAATTTAAAAAAAAAAAAAACCCCCTAAAAAAACCGGTAAAAAAAAATTTTCCCTTCCCTTTTTTAAAAAAATTAAAAAAAAAATTTTTGGGGAAACTTTTTTTGGGGAAATTAAATTTTAAAATTAAATAAAAAAAGGGGGTTTTTTTTAAAAAATTTTAAATTTTAAAATTTTTTTTTAAAAATTTTAAAAAAAATTAAAGGTTTTTAAAAAAACTAAAAAATTTTTTTAAAAAAACCCAAAAAAAAATTTTTAAAAAACCGAAATTTTATTTTTTTTAAAAAAAAAAAAAAAAAAAAAAGGGGGGTTTTTTAAAATTAAAATTTAAGGGGGGGGGAAAAAAATTAACCCCCTTTTTTGGGTTTTTTAAAAAAAATTTAATTTTTAAAAAAAAAAAAAAAACCCCCCCCAAAAAAAAATTTTAAAAATTTGATTGGGGAACCCAAAAAAACCCTTTTGGGGAAAAAAAAAAAATTTTTGTAAACTTTTCCCCCCGGTTTTAAAATTTTGGAAAAAAAGGGGAAAATTTGGGGAAAAAAAAAGGGCCCAAAAAACCAAAAAAAAACCCCCCCTTTTTTTTTGGGGGTTTTTTTTCCCCCCCCGGGGGGGAAAAAAAAAAAATTTTTTTTTTTTAAAAAAAAAATTTTTTAGGGGTTTTAAAAAAAAAAAAAAAAAAAAAAAAAAAAAAAAAAAAAAAAAAAAAAAAAAAAAAAAAAAAAAAAAAAAAAAAAAAAAAAAAAAAAAAAAAAAAAAAAAAAAAAAAAAAAAAAAAAAAAAAAAAAAAAAAAAAAAAAAAAAAAAAAAAAAAAAAAATTTAAAAAAAAAAAAAAAAAAAAAAAAAAAAAAAAAAAAAAAAAAAAAAAAAAAAAAAAAAAAAAAAAAAAAAAAAAAAAAAAAAAAAAAAAAAAAAAAAAAAAAAAAAAAAAAAAAAAAAAAAAAAAAAAAAAAAAAAAAAAAAAAAAAAAAAAAAAAAAAAAAAAAAAAAAAAAAAAAAAAAAAAAAAAAAAAAAAAAAAAAAAAAAAAAAAAAAAAAAAAAAAAAAAAAAAAAAAAAAAAAAAAAAAAAAAAAATTTATTTCCAATCTTTCAAAAAAAATTTTTAACTTAAAAAGGTAAAAAAATTAAAAATTTTTTAAAAAATTTTTTAATTTTAAATTTTTTGGGAAAAAAAATTTTTTTTAAAAAAAAATTTTTTTTTAAAAAAAAAACCCCCAAATTTTCAATCAAAACCAAAGGGCAATTTTTTGGGGTTTTTTTAAAAATTCCCCCCTTTTTTTTTAGCTAGTTCATCAGTCAGTCAGTCAACCAGCCAGTCAATGTGTCACACAGTCTATCAGACAGCCAATCATTCAGCCAACCATTTTGGTTTAGTCAGTCACCAATCAAAACTGTTTTTGCAAATTTATTCAGGCCAACACGCCAAAATTTAGGGGGCCCAATTCAACCCCAAACAGTTAATTTAACCGCAAAGCGACAGTTTAATTAAATAGTAGCCAATAAGCGGCCAAACACCCCGTCAGTTTAAAAAGCCAGCCATCAGACAGTCAAAACCCGCTAGTCCAGCCAAAAAGACAGCCAAAACACCCAGTCAGTTAATTAAACCAGCCAATCAGAAAGTCAACCAGTAGAACCAATCCAGGTCCAGTCAAGACCAGTTCAGCCAAACTAAGTAAGACAACCAGTCAACCCAATCTGTCAGTCAAGCCAGTCAGACAGTTCCCAACTAGATTAAGTTCAGCCAAATTATACAGCCCAATTAATCAGTCAGTCAATCAGTCAAGGGCCAGCCAATCGGCAGTCAATAGATAGTCAGCGCCAATAGTCTGTCAATCAGTCAGCCCCAGCCAGTAAATACCAATAGTCAGAAAAAGACAGCCAACCGAATCAGTCAAGTCAACAGTCAGCCAATCCAGACAGTCAACCTAGATAGTCAGCCAAAATAGTTCCAGAATCAATCCAGTCAGCCCAATCAGACAGTTCAAACTAGATAGTCCCAGGCGCAACTAAGTCAGTCAGCCAATCAGACAGAACTAGATAGTTCAGCCAAATAGTCAGTCAACCAGTCAGCCAATCAGACAGTCAACTAGATAGTCAGCCAACTAGTCAGTCAGCCAATCAGACAGTCAACTAGATAAGTCGCCAAATAGGAGTCGCAGTTCAAAAACCAGTCAGCCAAATACAGACAGTTCAAACTAGATAGTCAGGCCAACTAGTCAGTTCAGCAATCAGAAAGTTCAACTAGATAGTTCAGCCAACTGTCAGTCAAAACCAGTCAGCCAATTCAGTCTGTCCAGTTAATGCAGGCAGTCAACTAGATAGTCAGCCAACCAGCCAGCCAGCCAGTCCACTAGATAGTCAAGTCAATAAGTCAGTCAACCAGTCAGTCAACCAGTGAGCCAATCAGACAGTCAACTAGATAGTCAGCCAACTAGTCTGTCAATCAGTCAGCCAGCCAGTCAACTACATAGTCAGCCAAAAAAAGACATGCCAAACAATCAGTCCAGTCACTAATCAGGTCAGCCAACTAGTGCAGTCAAGCGCAGTCAATTAAGCAGCCAAATCCAAAGTTAATCAGTCAGCCAAGCCAGTCCACTAGATAGTCAGTCAAGTCAATAAGTCAGTCAACCAGTCAGCCAACCAGTCAGCCAATCAGACAGTCAACTAGATAGTCAGCCAACTAGTCTGTCAATCAGTCAGCCAGCCAGTCAACTACATAGTCAGCCAAAAAGACAGCCAACCAACTGGTCAGTCAACCAGTCAATTAGTCAGGGCCAAAACCGTTAGTTGACCCTCAGCAAAAAAAATCAGTCAACCCGTCAGGGAAAACCCGTCAGTTAAAACCAAAACAGTTTAATTTAGTCAGTCAGTTAGCCCGCCAGTCAGGGCAGTAACTAGAATTTGGGAAGGGGAAATAAGTCAGGCCCAAACAAATTTTTTTTCTTTAACCAGTCAAAAGCCAATAGTCAGAACCAGGACATAAATGGACATTTACTGGTGGTGTGTTACTAGTTTAATTTCAGTTACTTTGGAAATATCCCTTGCAAAGTCATGTTAGACGGTTTACCGCTGAATCAGATATTTAATTACCATATTAGATGTTTACTAACATTCCTGACAGAAATATGCCACCATTATCGAATATGTATTAAAATGAATTAAAGCTGTTGTACTGTCTTTAGCTTAACCCTAGCTATGATCCCTAAAGACACGCGTGCTATAAAGAATTAATGCAATCTTTCATCAATATCATACTTTTGAATAGTAGTACAACCGATAAGCCGAATAATATCTATGCTGTGCATATTTACATACTCAACTATCTTACACGTCCTACAAATTACGTTCATAAATCATTATTGTTAAGGAAGTTTGGTACAGTTTTTTTTAATCATATAGTCATATATAGGCAGAATGAGAAAACTAATTTATAGATTATATTTTTTTTTTTAATTTTGAATGAACTTAGAATATGATAAAAGAAACTTTCAAGTGAAAAATTTGGATCGTCGATCTAATTTTTGAGTTATCTGCCATTGAATTTGATTTGTTTTCTTTCACTTAATTCCATACAGTATATTTAATAGACTTTTTCTGTTTTGAAAAAATCTTTAACAGTCCCGTTTTTCACGAAATTTTGCATTTTATTATTGGTAGGCGACAATCCTGATCTAAAAGCCCGTACAGTTTAAATAAAACCGATTTTTATTTTGCCTATATGTCTAGTGGGCATTCTTTAATACAGTCTTAATGATATCAAGTCATTGAAAATTGTATGTTTTCTTCACCCTTTTCAACTTTGTCTGAATTGAATATTCTTACTCATTTACTAAAGCATAATCTACTTAAATAAAAAGGGTTACCTGGATCAGTGCAGTTATTCATTTTCTTTTATCCTAATTTAAATTATGTACATCTTCCGA